TCTTCTCTTTACTTTTCATCATCCTCAAATAGAAAGCAGCTGCAAAGAGAACAAAGGGTAATTGTCCCCCAAGCCCACCAAAGCTTCCAATCATAGGAAACTTGCACCAACTTGGCAAGCTCCCACACAAATCCCTACGGCGCCTCTCCAAACTTTACGGTCCCGTTATCAGCCTTAGCCTTGGTGGTGTAGAAGCCACCATCATATCCTCAGTCGAGACAGCTCGTGCCCTCATAAAAACCCACGATCTTCAAAGTTGCAGTAGACCACAAACTCAATCAGTCAAAAAACTCACTTATAATTTTCTTGACATTGCATTTTCACCTTATAGTGATTACTGGAGAGAGATACGTAAAATTTGTATACTTGAACTTTTCAATATGAAGAGGGTGTTATCTTACAAACCCATTAAAGAGCAAGAAGTTGGTTTGCTGATTGAATCGATTTTGCAATCAGCTTCTTGTGGAGTTGTTGGAATTGCTTTTGAGAAGTTGAAGGGGATGGATTTTATGGAATTGCTTTTGGAAACCGTTTGAAGGGGATGGATTTTATGAGCTTGTGAATGAAGCTATGGCATTGTTGGGAAGCTATAGTGCTTCTGAGTTCCTAATGAAATAAATTAAAAAAAAAAAAAAGAAAGAAAGACCGAGAGAGAGAGAGAGAAAAATGTGCATGACCCTCACATGCCAGTATGGACCCAAGAGTAGGTTCGCACACCTTTTAGACCCTTTTCCTGGACGAGATAGCATTCTCTGGTGTTATTGCCGGACACCAAATAGGAATAGTGACCATTGTAACATTATGATAAACATAATGATCGTTTTCCTACCTCATAACGAATGCGTCCGAACCATAATAAAACGGGAGATTCCCTAATGCATGTAACACACAGCATAAGGTCCCAACATTTTTATTCATTAAATCATGTAAAACAACTCCTTCCATTTTCCTTCATATCATATCATTTTACAACATAGCCTTTAAGACGTTTATTCAGGTTGAATATTGTATGATTCATATCATACATTGTCTTATGTCATATCATAAAACATAACAACATGTATTATATCATCAAACGTGTTATACCATAACATATATCATATCATCAGCACATCACATCATAACATGTGTCATAGCATTAACATAACATGTTATAGTTATATCATATTACAGACATATCATAGTCATATCATTTTATAACTATATTCTCTAGTCATATCGTTTCATAAACATATCATAGTCATATCATTTCCTAACGATATCATAGTCACATCATTTCTAAACATTTCGTAGTCCGATCATTTTCTAAAGATATCATAATCACATCATTCATAAACATTTCACACATACCAAGCATATGTCAGGTGCAAAACCACGGGCACGTGCCTTCGTACAAACATCAATTTCTAACCATGTCGATAGTAAGACCACTTACTTGATTGACTTTTGTCGAAGTTTCTATCTAATTCTAAATTGGCTTGCCTTCGTCCCTCGAATTCTTTCCACATATACCGGGTGTTTCACCCTATTAAATACATTCACCAAATTCTTTTACAGTATTTTGACCCATTTGAATGATTCTTATTTTCTTTTCATAAAATGGGGCTACTATTTGGTAGAACACATAAATTGTTTTTAGTATTTAAAGATTGAGCTGTTCTTCAAGTTACATCCGCACATAAATCTGAGTAAAAACATTTTTATCCTCAATTAAATCTTAATAAAACAAAAATTTTGTTTTCTATTTGATTTTGAAGGAAGGATGACAGAGATATTTAAGGAAAAAGTTGAGAGAGGATAATGGAGAGGTGCAGTTACCATTATTATTTTTTTTTTTTAAGGTTGTTACAAACTGAATGGTAAGTTTGTCTAAAACTAGCAACTTCCAACGACCATAACTCGTTCACTCCTTATGAAATTTGATAATTCTTGACTGGTTACTCTATGAACTACCATGGCTATAACACAAGCATCAAGGGAGGGAAAAAGGGCCAGGAAATTAAGCATAGATAGAGGTAGAAGACTGTCCACTTGGATCGGTCCAAATCGTATTCATTCTGAAAGCATGAACAAGTAAGCATGTCAAGTGTGTAGCTAGTCCAATATTCAGGTCTTCATTGGAAAGATGTCGAGATTAAGTGGGGGACACTGTCACAACTTCACTTGGAGAAAGTAGGGTGTGACCCCACACACAAGACAGACAAGGGGCAACCCTCAAGTGGCGTCCATTTGGCCACATAGGGGCCAAGATTGAAAAGTACAATGATGCGATCGATGAGGATAGTGCATTATCCAACACACCAAGAGTGTGCATTAAAGCTAAGTCGAGGCATACAAGAAGTTCGAGAGAATGAGGCGACACGAGTGTCGAAGACAAGCTCGAAGAAGGCCAGATAGGGCCCCGGGCCATAACTTTAGAATTTGGGGTTTGTGAAATGGATTCTCGAATCAATTATGCATGACGGCATATGTCTACTCATTGAAATGACCTCTACTCGAGGAGGATTGGAAATGCCTCAAAATGTACTATAGGGGGAGGCATGTCATTGGCTCTCACACTTAGGCCTTGTGGCTTAAGCTAGCTACCTTGTGGCACATGCGTGTGTCAGTGTGGGCGAACGTCATGGAACGAGCATCTTGGACGTCTTTCTTTGAAAAGGGTCTTTCAATGACAGTACCGGACGACATAGGTATGTTGGTATTACGACCCAGTCCATATGTCAGAGGTTGGATTATACATCCGCTATCTGAAACGTATGCCGTAAATGGTTTAGCATGGTCATAGGAGAGTCCGATACTCGAGTGAGCCAGATGGATGGATATTCATGATACTCAATGAGATGATCGACACAACAGTTTCCAAAGAATTTGTTCGAACAAGCCAAGATGGTCAATGTATTCCAAGACATAGCATGACATCGATGCACGGATCGTGTTGTTGGGAACTAAGATGACAATGAGATGAGATATGATTGTGTCGCACAGGATGGAGCATGCACGCACGAACGTCGTGTGTAGCCGAACAAGCTTGAATTCAACAATTAATTCCTCAAGTTTGTTCCAAATGTCCCCACGAATCTAACCAAACAAGAATCATAAGTTTTTGTTCACCATAGAGTAGAAAATCGAGCCTGAAAGTTACATTCTTACCCACGGTTCTAAGCTCTTTAGTTGTGGTTTCTTGGTCCTCCTTTTCAAAAATTGGCTCAACAAACTCGTCAATCACACTTCCCTCCCCGAACCTTTCTCCTCAAGATCGTGTCCTAATTCCAAGTAAAACGGCAAAATCTTCGTTTGTTCCTTGCCGACAAGTATGGGTCCTTTTCGGAATTTCCAAAATATATTTTTTTTAATAAAAATGTTAAAGTTTCATTAAACTACCTAACATTTAATATTTGTGCAATTTTTTTTTTTTGTCTCATTTATCTTTTTAAATAATGTGGAAATTAAGTGAACTAGAACATGAATTTTGTGCACCTGTCTAGTCCGATCGTTTAGCAGCTCTTTTTAAGAGACATGAATGTAAATAGAAAACATCATTTGGAAAAGTTTCATGGTCTGGTGGTCGGTGTAACAATAATGACATTTGTCGATATGCCACCTGTTTACTAAGATCATCATAGATTATTAATGCATGTATTCCATTATCGCCGAAATATTCCCCCTGGCACACCTAGAATATGGAGCTAGAAATTGAAGAAGATCCGGATCCAAAGTAGTGATGGCTACCAGAATGAAATATTCCAAAATTATTGTGTGCTGACTTTGCTAGCTTGTGTTGATGAGTTATAGACCATTATTTTCATCCACTTGATGTTACATTTAAATAATTAGATAATTGAATTTGAAAGGACAAGACATCCAACATATCTACAAAAACAAGTGGAACCTAATTTGGAAATTATTTTACAAGTAATTATAGTTTATATGAAAAATGGTTCAATAAAAGTAGGCCCATATTTAGTGATTAGGAGGCTATTATTGTCCTATGTGAGAAACTACCTCTCTAAAATTTATTAAATTTTTTAATTAAGTTTACCCATCTTTAATTTTTTTTTTTTTTTAAGTTACGTTTGTTTATATTTTAAAAATAATTTTAATACATTTATAACGTTTTTAAAAACTCATTTGTAAAATTAAATCAATTAAAAAGTTAAGTTTTTGAAAAAAAGAATAGGATGACTTTTCTTTCTATTATTTTACTATGTGTGATCTGACATTTGAATTTGGAGGTATTAAAAATTAGGAGCAACTCAAACATACTATTTAATGCTTGAAAATGAAAAAAAAAACATGCAATAGAAAATGAAAGATGGATGGACCACTTTCCAAATGCATCGATACAAAAGTCATTGAAGATGATTATTGTCCTTTATTGGTTTGATGTATTGCAGCTTTTGTATCATTCTTTCGGAGAAGCTACTCCATGAGAACCGTTGAGCAATCGAAATTCTGGGATGCGGTTGGATTAGACTACACCTAATTAATTAGATCTATGAAAATCATAGCTTCTAAACTTGATTTCACTCATAAACGTATATATTATCTACTAGAAGGCTAAACAAATCTATGTACACAAATAAAAACTTTAAAATACATAAATTAAAAAAGAAAAAATAGTTTGAAAAATTATTTCAATTTTTATTTTCTATGGAGAGAGATGATAGCTTGTTACTTGTATGGAGTGGACTGTCTTTTTTTTTATTATCATTTTTTTTGACACGGTAAGAATAATATCAAGAAATCGTGGACATTTATAGACCATATATTTTCTTTTTAAATAATGTTTTTATCTACTATTTTGTAACACGACCACTAAAAATTTGAAAACATTTTATTGTTTTCATTCAAATAATATATGAAAATGAGAATTAACATTTCATTGTTTTCATTCAAATAATATATGAAAATGAGAATTATAATAGTTGAACGTTTTGTTTTATGTCTATTTAATCTAAAAAAGAATGATCATTTTTATTCATAATCTTTTTCCTCTTTTCCTCGGGTTCTTGAACTCTTTCTAAATTCCAATGTCTTTCCTTCATTTCCCTCCCTGGGTTCCCCTCATCCTCTTCTTCTCTTTACTTTTCATCATCCTCAAAGAGAAAGCTGCTGCAAATAGAAAGAAGGGTAATTTTCCCCCAACCCCACCAAAGCTTCCAATCATAGGAAACTTGCACCAACTTGGCAAGCTCCCACACAAATCCCTATGGCGCCTCTCTCAGCGTTACGGTCCTATTATCAGCCTTAGCCTATGCCATATAGAAACTATCATCATATCCTCTGCCGAGACCGCTCGCGCCCTCTTGAAAACCAACGATTTTAAAAGCTGCAATAGACCACAAACCGATGTTACAAAAAAACTCTCTTACAATTTTCTTGATATCGGGTTTTCGCCTTACAGTGATTATTGGCGAGAGATACGGAAAATTTGTATGCTTGAACTTTTCAGTATGAAGAAGGTGTTATCTTATGAACCCATTAGAGAGAAAGAAGTTGGTTTGCTTATTGAATCGATTTCACAATCAGCTTCTTGTGAAGCTACTGTTGATCTTACTCAGAAATCGATTGCTCTCACTACTAGTGTTATTTTTAGAATTGCTTTTGGGAAGTTGTTTAAAGTGGATGGATTTAATGAAATTGCAAGTGAAGTTGAGGTCCTGTTGGGAAGCTACGGTGCTTCTGAGTTTTTTCCTATTCCTTTTGTGGGGAAGATAATTGATTGGTTTAGTGGCCGAAAAACTAGACTAGAGAGGGTTTTTAATGAAATGAATGTTCTGTTCCAAGAAGTGATTGATGAACATATTCATTCTGTGAAGCCTAAGCCAAAGCAAGATGATATCATTGATGTGCTTTTGGCTATCAATAAAAAGCAAGTTGAGTCTTGCAATATTGTCATTACACATGAAAGTATCAAAGCCATTCTTTTTGTAAGCAACTTCTCTGTCTAAACTTTAATGATTTTTAAGCTTGTCTTAGGTTAGTTTTTAAACTTCAATTTCGTATTAAAAAGTTATTGAGCCTTTTTGGCTTTTATCTCTATCCTCTCTTTCTTTACTAACTCATAGTCTTCTAACATTTTTCTATTGTATGACGTGTATCTACAGAACATAATTTTTGCAGGATTATCCACTAGTTCAGTTATTATAGTTTGGGCAATGGCAGAACTAACGAAAAATTCGAAATTGATGAAGAAAGCTCAAGAAGAAATCAGAAATCATGTGGGAAACCAAGGAAAGGTAATAGAGAGAGACCTAGAAGAGCTTCCATATTTGAAAATGATAGTGAAAGAGACACTAAGACTACATCCACCGGTACCTCTTCTTATTCCAAGAGAAACCATTTCCCATTTCAAAATTGAAGGCTATGAATTTCACCCGAAAACGATGGTTCAAGTGAACATTTGGGCAATTGGACGAGACCCCACATATTGGAAACAACCAGAAGAGTTCCTTCCAGAGAGATTTGTAGAGAGCTCGATTGATTACAAAGGACAACATTTTGAGTTTTTGCCATTTGGGGGTGGTCGAAGGATGTGCCCAGGGTTGAATATGGGGGTGAAAATTGTAGAGTTGACTTTAGCGAATCTTTTGTACCATTTTGATTGGAAGTTGCCAAATGGGATGAAGGAGGACTTAGACATGGAAGAGAATTATGGTTTGAGTCTCACCCTCCACAAAAAGTTGCCTCTCAAACTTGTACCAACTTTATATCATCCATGAGTATCAAGTTTGAAGTGGAGTCCTCTATTGTAAAGTCGAAGACCTGTCTTATATATGACGACACGTGGCTAGTGGCTCTTGCACGTATCATTTATGCTTATATATTATGATGACGATAATGTGAGCTAGTATGATGTGATGTTATATTATAATGATGTTATATGATGATATGATGACATGATAACGATGATGCATGATGACATGATGATATAAGATGCATGATGATGATATGATTCAATATGATGATATTTCATATTTAGATGATGTGTATGTACGAGATGTCATAATACATTATGATGAAGAGTTTCCTAAGACACACCCCTTAATGAGAGTAATGATGATGAATGTATGAAAGATAATGCATGCATGTTACCTAGAATAATATATGAATGATGTATACGGTTGTGTCATACAAATAATTTAAGATGAAAACTATATGGACATGTGAGAGATGATAGCTTCTTATGGAGTGGACCTTCATTTTTTGGAATCATTCTTTACGCTAGAGTAAGAATAATATTAAGAAATCGTGGACTTCTATAGACCATCATATTTTTTTTTTAAATAATTTTTTCATCTACCGTCTTTAAAGACGACCACTAAAAACGTTTCATTGTTTTCATTCAAATAATATATGAAAATGAGAATTGAAACTGTTTACGTCTATTTAATTGAAACAAGAATGACCATTTTTTATTCATAAACATCTTCCTCTTGTTTTTGAGTTGTTTCTAAATTCGAATGTCTTTCCTTCCTTTCCCTCCATGGCTTCCCCTCATCCTCTTCTTCTCTCTACTTTTCATCATCCTCAAACAGAAAGTAGCTGCAAATAGAAAGGGGTAATTTTCCCCGAGCCCTCCAAAGCTTCCAATCATAGGAAACATGCATCAACTTGGCAAGCTCCCACACGAATACCTATGGTGCATCTCTTAGTGTTACGGTCCCATTATCAGCCTCAGCCTTGGCGGTGTAGAAACCACCATCGTATCCTCTGTCGAGACAGCTCGTGCCCTCATGAAAATCCATGATCTTCAAAGTTGTAGTAGACCACAAACTCAATCGGTAAAAAAACTCACTTACAATTTTCTTGACATTGCGTTTTCACCTTATAGTGATTACTGGTGAGAGACACACAAAATTTGTATGCTTGAGCTTTTCAATATGAAGAGGGTGTTATCTTACGAACCCATTAGAGAGCAAGAAGTTGGTTTGCTGATTGAATCGATTCCGCAATCAGCTTCATATGGAGTTGTTGTTGATCTTACTGAGAAGTCCACTACTCTCACTACTGGTGTTACTTTTAGAATTGCTTTTAGAAAACCGTGTTGAGGTAGCAAATTTCTGCTAGCTATTTTTTCCTTGTTATTAGTAGAGTCATTTGAGTTGTGTGCTTTTTCGTCTTTTCTGCGTTTCATGTATTTTTTCTATAAAAGGCATTGGAGCCTATGAATAAAGAATGATCATTTTTGGTACATATGCCAAGTATTTGTAATTTACCCCTATCATTTGGTATCAAAGCCAAAGCAAAACAAAGTGATCCAAGAGAGAAAATGAGCAACGACAAAACACTCACCAAGATTCCACCGTTTGATGGTTACTATGACCATTGGAGTGAACTGATGGAAAACCTCTTGCATGCCAAGGGTTTGTGGAGTCTAGTGGAAGAGGGTTACACCGAACCGGCAGAGGAAATCGAAGTGACTGCAGTGCAGAAAATGAATCTTGAGGCGTTCAAGATGGAGGACCATCAAGTGAAGCACTACCTGTTCCAAGCAATTGATCGGGTTGTGTTTCAACAGATCTTGAATCGCAAAAAAGCCAAGAACATTTGGGATTCGATGAAGAAAAAGTTTGGAGGCAACGAAAGGGTGAAGCGGTCTCTTCTCCAAACTTTAAGAAGAGATTTTGAGGTTCTTGAAATGAAGAACGAAGAAAACATCGATGATTATTTTGGAAGAGTAATGGTTGTCTCCAACAAGATGAGAAGCAACGGAGAAGACATGTCAAATTCGAAGATTGTTGAGAAAATACTTCGAACTCTGACTGACAAATTCACATATGTGGTGGTGGCCATCGAGGAGTCAAAAGACACAAGAAAGATGACGATTAACGAATTGCAAAGCTTTACATGAAAAGAAATTCAAGAAGATCAATCATGAAGAAGGTGATCAAGCTCTCAATGTCAAAGGTAGAGGCAGAGGATCATACAGAGGTCGAGGCAGGGGCAGAGGACGCTCATTCAATAAAGCAACAATCGAGTGTTACAACTGCCACCAACTTGGACATTTCTAATATGAATGTCCAAATGGGAACAATGGAGCACATTTTGCAGAGATCGAAGAAAAGGATGCAGTTCTTCTTATGACGTATGTGGATCTTCAAGGCACTAAGAGAGGAGATGTGTGGTTTGTGGATTCTGGGTGTTCAAACCATATGTGTGGAGAAAGAGGTATGTTCTCAAGCTTGGACACTAGCTTCACACATAATGTCAAGCTTGAAAACCATCACAAATGGATGGTTGGTGGGAAAGGAGTAGTGAAAATCATACTTAAGGGAATAAGCTATGTGATCAACGATGTGTATTATATTTCGGAATTGAAGAACAACCTGCTTAGTGTTGGACAACTTCAAGAAAGGGGTTTAGACGTGCTATTCAAAGGAGGAGATCGAAACACATGCAGCATTTTTCATCCCTCAAGAGGAAAAATAGTAGAATCTGTTATGAGTGCTAATAGGATGTTTATCCTGCTGGGTGAATCAAATCACAAAAGGGAGGAGGAAGAGATTGAAATGAAAAAGCAACTTAAGAAGCAGGAAGAGGACGCCGAAAAAGATCAACGTCGCAGACAGCGGGAAGAAGCTGAATAAAAAAAGAGACTTTCTATACTAAAGCAAGCATCCATAATGGAGCGTTTCCTTAAGAAAATCAAACGTAGTCCATCATGTCAAAATGATTATCCAACTACTGAATTGACTACATAGGTTCCATTGAGTAAACAGAGTGAAAACATGCTGGAGGCTTGTACGCAGTTCATGGACTGCCCTCTTTCTTCAAGCAATGTGATCAATTCTGTTGATATTCGCAGGCTGCACTTATCTTCTTGGCGCTTCATAGGTCATTCAATTCGTTCAAGAGAAAAGAATCACTGGACATTCGTCAGAAGTCAAAGTGTGATCTATTTAAGGAACTTAAACTTTCAAATGGCAGAGAATCTGCTAATGATGGTGAATTGGGTGAGAGAGGCTTGGGAAGAACAAATTACATATGATAGAACTAGTCATACAGAGTTCTGCAATAGTTTACCTCATGTTAATAAGTTGAATAGGGGGAAGGGGAAGCAGTTGTTGCAGTTTTCAAAGAGCTATAGGCCTGCTTTTTATGGCATTTGGTTCACAAAGAGTCATGTTGTTGGACCACACCATCCGTTTAGGAAGGACCCAAGTTTGGATTATGATATTGACAATGATGAAGAATGGGAAGAGGAGGATCCTGATGAAAGCCTCTCAGATTGTGATAAGGATGATGAAGAAAACTTAGAAGAGGAAGGTTGTGCAAAAGCGGAGGATGATGAAGACAGTGAAGATGGATTTTTTTGTCCCCGATGGATATCTCTCAAAAAATGAGGGAGTGGAACATGACAGGATGGAAACGGATGATGTTGATGAGGTCAAGAGTACACCTAGCTCTAAGCAAGATATGGAGGGCAAAGAACTTTGTAGTTTGTTTAAGCAGCAAAAGCATCTCTACAACATGACAGAGCTTGCACTTGGAAAAAATCAACCATTGATTATATTAAATTTATTGCATGAGAAGGATATTCAAGAAGCCGCCGGACATCAGAAATGGAAACAAGTGATGGATGTTGAATACAGTCCATCGAACGAAACCACAGGTAGTCGCTGATTGCACTTCCCGTTGGAGCCAAGGCTATTGGGGTTAAGTGGATTTACAAGACCAAATTAAATGAACTTGGAGAGGTAGACAAGTTCAAAGCTCGGATGGTTGTAAAAGGGCATGCTCAAGAGTACGGAGTAGATTACACAGAGGTATTCGCACCAGTGGCTCGAATAGATACAGTGAGGATGATCATTGTTGTAGCTGCACCAAAAGGATGGAGAATCTATCAGCTCCATGTCAAATCTGCTTTTCTACATGGTGAGCTGAAGGAAGATGTATTTGTTGAACAACCACAAGGTTATGAAGTAGCAGGGAAGAAGGACATGGTTTATAAGCTGCAAAAGGCTCTTTACGAACTAAAACAAGCGCCTAGAGATTGGTTCAGTCGCATTGAGGCCTATATCGTCAAGAAAGGTTTTGTAAGCAGCTCTAGTGAACAAACATTATTCATCAAACAAAAGGGAGGTAAAATTCTAATTGTGAGCATTTATGTTGATAATCTATTGTTCACTAGTATTGATGAGGAGTTGTTGAATGAGTTTAAGCGCTCCATGATGGATGAATTCGACATGACTGATTTGGGGAAGATGAGATATTTTCTTGGCATTGAAGTGATGCAGAAGGCTGATGGCATCTTTATATGTCAAAGAAAATATGTTGCTGAGTTGATCGAGACGTTTGGGATGCAAAATTACAACTCCGTTTGCAATCCGATAGTCCCTGGACAACAGATTGGCCGAGATGAAGCTGGTGTGAAGGTCGATTCAATGCTATATAAGCAAATGGTGGGCAGATTAATGTATCTCACAGCCACACGACCTAACTTGATGTTTGTGGGAACTCTGGAATTTGGGATATGGTATCAACATGAAGGGAAGAGTGAACTCTTAGGCTATACCGACAGTAACTATGCTGGAGATGTGGATGACAGTAAGAGCACTTCAGGCTATGTTTTCTTAATGAGTAGAGGAGCTGTGACATGGTCCTCAAGGGAGCAACCAATCGTCACGTTGTCAACTACTGAAGCAGAGTATGTAGCAGCAGCTACCTGTGCCTATCAAGTTATCAAAAAATGCAGTCTTGCACGAAAAGTCAAAGCACATAAGGGTTCGATACCATTTTCTCAGAGAAATGACAAAGGAAGGTGTAATTAAATTGGTCTATTGCAACACTGAGGAGCAATTGGCCGACATAATGACAAAGCCTTTGAAGATGACATCATTTCAAAGGATCAGAGAAGCGCTTGGGATGAGTGCTATGAACTAAACCCTTG